CCTCTTGGGAAGTCTGTGATTGTGTCAAATCAAAGGCAGGTGCTGTGCCAGAGAAGAGCACTGGGCTTGCTGGGCCCCAGCGGGCCAGCCTTCTCTCTCACTCACACAATTTCCACTGCCTTACCCTGCCCTGGGTGATAAGACCCAAGCCAGTCACCCTGCCAGCCAGGACCCATGAGCACCCACACCACACCCTACCTTTCTGGCTCAAGCCCTATTGACAGATCCCCCAGAATCTGAAGGAATTCAAGACAAATGGTTAAGAGGATGGAGTTAATAAAATTTGAAAAATTGAGGCCTGTCACTCCACTAAACTTTTTTCAATACCACTGACAGAAACATATTTCCCCAATGAGTGACCTTCCACAGCTGTAGCGGGCAGCGCAGCCGCAGCAGTGCTGCCAAGAAGCCAGTCTGCTATTTATCAAATATTATAAGCTGGGACACACTAATCTAGAGCGGGGAGGGGAGGGGAGGGGGTCCTGCACTAGACTGCCTGGGGTGCTCCAGGTGTTGGCCCCAACCCCAGACAGCCAGTGGGAGGTGACGGATGGCCTGCGATTAGCACTCCCCACCTCCATCCAGCCCTTTCACTTGCTCCCAGAGGCCTGACCCTCTAGACCAGCTGCTCAGCCTGGAGAGGCCCTGGGTGGGAGGCAAGGGGAGGTCAGGCCAGGGCACGGGCCATCCTGATGCCCCCAGAGAGGGCAGGCGGGTGAGGCCCAACGTGGTTATTTATTGGAGTGTAATGGTTTGTGGCCGTTGGTCGTGAAGGTGAAATCGATCAGTTGTAGAAGTCAGGTTCTATCAATTATTACAGCAATTAGTCAAGTCAGAGCATCAGAGCAAGGGTGTGGGGGCTGGGGGCTAATATTAGATGGACATTATCCATGGTGCCCCTGCCTCAGCCTTCCTAAAGTGGGAGCAGACGCACTACCCTGAGGCTCCAGAACCTTGGGGAAACTCTACTGGCTTCCCTCCTCGGAAGTGGCTGGGGTGGAGCCTGGCTGAGAGCTTCCTGGTCTAGGGACAGGCCCAGCACCGCTTTCAAAGGCATCTCTGTGCCGGCGGCCCAGGTGCAGGGATGTCCTACCTGTCCCCATCCCATTCTCTATGAGAAGTGACACCGCTCTACTAGAAATTACTCGGTGGCCAATGTTTATGGCTCACATTTTTCATTCTGTAAGCAAATATAGATCACTGACAGCACTTGTTTGAAGCGGTTAATCTCACCCTCAGTTCTCCCACTGTCTTCCTCTCTCCCCTTGTCTTTCTTTCCCTCTCCCCTTCTCTTTCCCATTTTTTCCCCCTCTTCCATTTCTCTTCTCTTTGCCCCTCTTGTCTTTTTCTTCTCGGCCTCTCCCTCATCACCCTTCCACTCCAGCCCATATCTAGTGACAGAGCCTCCCCTTGAGGCTGCCGAAAACACTCTCCTCACTAGGAAGGCTGTACTTTATCCTGTAAGGAGTGAAAAGCCACTGAAGGATTTTTCAGCAGGGATGTGTCCTGGCCGCCCAGATGGCAGAGTGGAGAATTGGAGTTAAAAAAAAAAAATTCTGGAGGGGGTTTGACTCCTGGACTAAGGAAATAACCAACTTTGTGACCTATTTCAGTTCTCTGTACCCAGTTTCCATGTCTTTAGCATTTTAATTTCTAACCCTCAGGATGGTTGTTAGGATTAAATGATATAATATATATAAAGTGCAGAGCACAGTGCCTGGCATACAGTAAGTGCTTAGTAAATACCAGCGGCTATTATTACCACTTCTAGATATGTATCCAAAAGACATAAAAACATATATCCATGTAAAGACTTTGTACACAGATGTTCATAGCAGCATTCATAATGGCTAAAAGGGGGAAACAACCCAGATGTCCATTGGCTAGTGAATGGATAAGCAAAATGTGGTACATACACACAGTGGAATATTATTCAGGTATAAAAAGGAATGGAGTACATACTACATTCATGTGGTAGCGTGAGTAATACATGCTACAACATGGATGGACCTTGAAAACATTATGCTAAGTGAAAGAAACCAGATACAGAGGCCACACATTGTATGATTCTATTTATATGAAAGATCAAGTATGGGCAAACCTATAGAGACAGTAGACACTGTTTGTTGGGGATGAGGGAGATGGGGAGAAGGGGGTAGCCTTTGATAATGATTACGAGGTTTATTTTTGAGATAATGAAAATGATCTGGAATTAGATAGTGGTAATGGTTTTACAACTTCGTAAATATATTTCAAATCACTGAATTGTATACTTTAAAAATGTATGTGAATTATATCTCAGTTTAAAATTATGAATATTCTGTAACAATTCCTATTAGAAAATAGGATTGTGTATAAAAGTATTAATTGTGTTATTGATAATAAGTTTCCTTGGCCTGGATTTTACTTCCTGCACTCTGCCCCTTTCCCCTCTTCCTCTAAACCTCTTCCTCTGCAGCCCAGGCAGACAGCCACATGTAAATGCTTAATAAATGTTTGCTGTTGCTAATAAGTACATAGGATTTTAAGAAGCAGAGAGCTTCCATAGGAATGGTTTTATATTATGATATAAATGTTTCCACAGTCTGGGATTGAGAAAGGGTGATTTTTTTTTTAATATATTTTATTGATTTTTTACAGAGAGGAAGGGAGAGAGATAGAGAGCTAGAAACATCGATGAGAGAGAAACGTCGATCAGCTGCCTCCCGCACATCCCCCACTGGGGATATGCCCGCAACCCAGGCACATGCCCTTGACCGGAATCGAACCCGGGACCCTTCAGTCCGCAGGCCGACGCTCTATCCACTGAGCCAAACCGGTTTCGGCGAGAAAGGGTGATTTTTAACAAACAGTGGCAGTACACACTGACAGCCTTACCTGGGTATTTAGTGTCCCCAGCCAGCCAGTTCCATTCTTATGGCAGAGACTGCGTCTTAACCTTTCTTTACTTCTTAGACAACACTTCCCTACCAAGAAAGATCAAGGAATGTTCCATTTAACACATAGTTCTTAACCATCTGCTGTGCTCAAGGCACAGCTTTCTTCTCATGTTTCTCTCTTCCTGCCTTGAGAGGAGTGCCTTTGGAGCAGGGCCAGTGATTCTTCTGTGTCCCCAAGCCCCACTCATTTAAAGTTTGCCAAATTGAATGGAATGAACAGTTTTTGAAGAGGAGAGTAAGGTGCTCAGACCTGGGCTTTGGAAAAGAGCTTCTGACAGCCTCGGGGTGGAGTTGCCTTTCCTCCATAACTGCCAAGCCTTGCACACAGTAAACACTGTATACAGGTTTGACAGCTGCTGGCACTTAAAAGAGGGAGAAGGTAGATGGATGGCCCCAGGCAAGCAGCTTCTTTTTGTCATACTTTGTCTTCAAATCACAGGAACTAATGATTGGAAGGAAGCTTGCCTATAAGCACACACTCACCAACAGCTAGTATTGGTAAGAGTCTCGAACTGAACCTGGGCTGGCACAGCCAGGTTGCTGGGGATGGCCACACCCTTCCAGAGGACTCTGCTGACTCTGGCAGGCAGGAAATGCCAGAGAGAAAAGAGCATTGAGAGAGAGAGAGAGGCCCACCAGCTGGTGTGGCTCACCTATTGAGCATCGACCCAGGAACCAAGATGTCATTGGTTCGATTTCCAGTCAGGGCACATGCCCAGGTTTCAGGCTCCATCCCCAGTGGGGATCAGTGATGTTTCTCATCTCATCAAAGTTTCTTTTCTTTTTTAAAAAAATCCTCACCCGAGGATTTTCCCATTGATTTTTGGAGAATGGGAGGGAGGGAGGAGACAGAGAGAGAGATACCTTGATGTGGGAAGAGACATCGATTAGCTGCCTCCTGCATGCACTCTGACCAGGGACAGGGATCGAACCTGCAACCTAGGTATGTGCCCTTAACCAGAATCAAACCTGGGACCCTTTAGTCCGCAGCCTGATTCTCTATTTACTGAGCCAAACCAGCGTGGGCATCTCATCAAGGTTTCTATCCCTTTATCCTTCTCCCTTCCTCTCTCTAAAAGTCAATAAAATATAAAATAAATACAACCTAAAAAGTAAAACGTTTAAAAAAGGGGAGCGGGCCGAAACCGGTTTGGCTCAGTGGATAGAGCGTCGGCCTACGGACTGAAAGGTCTCAGGTTCGATTCCGGTCAAGGGCATGTACCTGGGTTGCGGGCACATCCCCAGTAGGAGATGTGCAGGAGGCAGCTGATCGATGTTTCTCTCTCATTGATGTTTCTAACTCTCTATCTCTCTCCCTTCCTCTCTGTAAAAAATCAATAAAATATATTAAAAAAAAAAAAAAAAAAAAAGGGGGAGCGGGGGAGCAGAGAGCAGAAAGAAGGGAGCCTTTTAATTGTTTTTTGGGACATCCTGTGCTCTAGAAAGGAACCCTTTTACATGATTTTTGTGAATGACTATTCATCTGTATATGAATGTGTTGGATAACATGAGGATTTTATTTATTGATTTTCAGAGAGAAACATTGTTTTGTTCCACTTATTTATGCATTCATTGGTTGCTTCTTCGTATGTACCCTGACCAGGGATTGAACCCGCAACCTTGGTCTATCAGGACGATACTCTAACCAGCTGAGCTACCCAACTAGGACATAATGGGAGTATTTTAATGACTAAGGCCATTGGGGTAAAGTAATCTATATGTTTGGTACATTTGTTGGCATATTCAGTTGGTGTATTTGTATGTGCACAGCACACCTGTGTGTTACACCTGTGTGTAACACATCTGTATGTGTAGTAGTGTGTGTGGTATGTTTCTGTACACGTGGGAGCCCCAATACTCTGACCTCTGTGTCAGAGAAGGCTAAGAACTCTCCTCTCAGAGGAACTTGACATGTTCTTCCCACCATTCTACAGTGTCTTAAGTTTTTGTTGCTCTACATTTCCACAGGCATTCCTGACAATAAAATCAGGGTTCAATCTCACTGATTGCTCACAGAGCTTCTGACCACCTCTGACAACCTCTTTCTCCTCCTCCTGCCAGGAGCCAACCCCCTACAGAGGAATGAAATGGGACACACACCCTTGGACTATGCCCGAGAAGGGGAAGTGATGAAGCTTCTAAGGACTTCTGAGGCCAAGGTAAGTCTCAGAGAAAGGAGAAGGCCTGTGGGCACTCTGAGGCATTTAATCTTTCACTCATTAAATTATGTCAGGCTTCACACTTCCTTAGGTGATTATTGTCTGTTGAAAACAAATCCAACCCCTAGTCTCATCAAGAATAGGAAACTGTTCCTATTGTAACCAGGAAGAAGCCTGAACCACTTTTTGCTTCTGAGGATTAACCATCAAATTTAATTTTTGAGATGACGGACCTCCTCGTTCCTCTTCATGGGAGGGGAGCTAGTGAGACAAACCCTTCAGCCCAGGCCTCATGTACTCTATAGCCTCATCAGGCAATCCTCTCCTTACCCCTCCTCTAGAACCATTCTCTGACCCTCCTCTTCACACACACTCTAGAGAACCATATACAGTCTGAGACCTCCCCGCAAACCTTCATCTTAATTTCATCCTCTCACCCAAACTTTCTAACTCCCTAAAGACTCTTCCCAGCCGTAACCAGTTTGGCTCAGTGGATAGAGCATCGGCCTGCGGACTGAAAGGTCCCCGATTCGATTCCAGTCAAGGGCATGTACCTTGGTTGCGGGCACATCCCCAGTGAGGGGTGTGCAGGAGGCAGCTGATCGATGTTTCTCTCTCATCAATGTTTCTGACTCTCTGTCCCTCTCCCTTCTTCTCTGTAAAAAAATCAATAAAATATATTTTTAAAAAAATAAAATAAAATAAAGACTCTTCCCAGCCACCAAGCTGTAGCTTAGGAACTACTTGGCACAATCCAAGAACTGGAATCACAAATCTCAGAGTTGGCAGGGACCTCAGAAATCATCAAGTCCAGTGATGGGAAATCATGCCAAAGCCAAACCAAATAAGTCAGAGGAAAATAGAGCTGTTCTGGTTGAAAGAGAGGCAGACCTACTCCTTTCCTGGCCTATCCCTCCCCTCCTGAGCAGCCTCCTTGGAGGCTCTGCTGTGGGGCAAACATTTTAAACTCTGAAATCAAATGACTCATTTTACTTCTAGAGAAATTGGAGCCCAGGGGTGTGATGTGGCTTGCCTTTGGTCCCAGAGTAAGTTAGCATCAAAACTGAAATTAATAGACTTGGACAAAGTAAGTTTAGTGACCGGACTGGAACTGGAAGACCTGGTTCCTGACCCTGTCTTATGCTCTTTCCAGCATCATGGAGTCTCTTGTTGGCAAAGTGCCCTGAGATGATTCAGTGTAGCAGGTCCCACCTAGTGGCAAATACTCTCTGCCTTGAGAAAAAGCACTTAGGTCACTGCACTGAGACAGGATGTAGGCTGTGATCCCAGCTCCATCACTTACTGACTGGGTGACCTTGGGCTAGCACTTTCCCTCACTAAAGCTTGGTTTACCTCTGTGAAATGAAAACATTGGAATAAATTGTTTTTAAAGTTCCATTCAATATACGATTGTCTGTCTGCCAGTCAGGATAAACATATGCTGTTGTAACAACCCCAAATTTCAGTTGTCTAAAAGAACAAAGATTTATTTTTGCCTCACACTGCATGTTCATTGTGGGTCGGGAGGAGAGGGGGGAGGGAGTATGTGCTCTGCTCATTACAGGCACTCAGGGACCCGAGTGCAGAGCATCCATCCTGTGGAACGATGCTGATTGCATGGGAAAAGAATTTTCTGGAAGATCTTGCACTGCAGCTAAATGCACAGTCTGGAAATAGGACCCTCTACTTCCACTCACAACTCACTGGACATACTAATCCCATGTTCCTGCCCAATCGAAAGGAGACAAGAGTGAACTTACCATGTGCCTAGAAGGGGGAGAACTGGAAATACTTGGTAACCAGCATTAACCACAGCTTATCTCCTTGGAATCCTTAGGAGACCATCTTGCAATGTTCCCTCCGGAGAATGAGAGGAGTTAGGAAGGTGGACTGGCTTTCACGGCACATTCCAAGGGGCACTTGGGACCAGCAAAGAGCAGAAATTCCATAGAGCAAATGCTTCCTTCCCTTTGTTCAGATTTCCTACCCCTAGGAGCAGCCCCTGAAGTCAAGTCAGCTTTCCCATGTGCCTTAAGGAAATCCCTAAGCATGTTTCAGATAACCTTGGGGACTACGTCCCAGTCATAATTTCCCCTTTCAGGCCTAATTATTGTCCCCTGAGAGCAAGCACTGCACTTGGCTAAGAATACAAATTATTTGTCAGGTGATGTGATACAGGTCAGGCTCTGTTCTGGTCATGTAAGGCAAGAGAATGGGCCGCTTGGTGCCAGCATATGTGGACGGGTTAGAGCTGCTGAGGCACTCTTAACAGAATTTGGCTGACCAAGAAATGGCTTGATGTCAGCCACAAGGCAGTTAACAAATGGCAGTTGCATTGCTCTGCCAATCAGACTCTTCTGGACCACAGAGAGCAACTGCAGACACTACCTTCTGAGTAGACTGAGTTCTTAGAGTCTCTGTAAGGAGGGCAGTAAGGGGGCAAGAGGAACTGCCTGAAAAAATGCTGAAGGCAATAGGGTCATCTGGCCCTGAAGACAGATTGCACTTAGGCACGGGAACGGCTGTGGGTGGGAGGGGAGGAGATTCATTCAGCAGCAAAGCTAGGACAGAGCCAAGCTTAGTGGGTGGCAGCTGCAAAGAGGAGCTCCCTAACAGAGCTGCCCGGTAGAGGCTAGACAACCATTTAGAGCCAGCCCTCGGCTTCTGCAGCCTCTCAACTGGAAGACTGTTTTTTGTCACCTCTCTGTACTTGATCCCTTCATCCGGTCCGGACTTCCTACATCTGGAATGTCTAGCTGTCCGCTCAACATTTCCACCTGATTGCTCTGCTCTCCAATCAGATCCTAACCAGCTGAACTAGCCTTCAGCTCTCCCTGGATGTCGGCATCATTGTCTTTCTCTCAGTTGCTTAGCATCTATGTGGTCACCCATTCTTTCTGCTCTGGTTTTTTCCTCCAAGCTGCAAAAACTACCTCTTCAAAACTGTGAGGCAGAGTTTCTGGGGAAGAGCACTACGTTAGACCTGGGTTCTGTCTCCCTCTGCCAGTAAGAGCAGCATCTGCTCCTGAGTTCAGGCCCTATATTTGTAACGTAATGACTCAGGCCTAGAGCTTGCTGAGGCTCCAGCCTGAGACTGCATCTCCTGGCTCTTTGTCTAAACATGAGTTACCACCACTCTGACCTTATCTTACTCCTCTTCTATCCATCCAGTATCCTCTGCCACCCAGCTCAGCCTCTTCCACCTTCACCTACCACTGTGTAGTCAAATATGGGCTCCTTACAGAAAATGTGAATTATAAAAGCTATCTGTCCCATCATAGAAAATTAGAAAGGTAAAATAAGAGAATTAAATAATTCTGCCGGAACGGTTTGGCTCAGTGGATAGAGCGTCGGCCTGCGGACTGAGAGGTCCCAGGTTCGATACCGGTCAAGGGCATGTACCTGGGTTGCGGGCACATCCCCAGTAGGAGATGTGCAGGAGGCAGCTGATCGATGTTTCTCTCTCATCGATGTTTCTAACTATCTCTCTCCCTTCCTCTCTGTAAAAAATCAATAAAATATATTTTAAAAAAATAATAATAATAATTCGGTACATATTTATAAGTGACATCTGCATGCCACGCTCTGGGCTATGTGGGAAGAAGACAGATGGTGAAACACTGAAGGAGCTCACAGTCTGACAAAGAGACAGGCAAGCGAACCATGACACCACTGAAAACCCAGAGGTGGCCTCTGATCCTGCCTGGGAGACCAAGGGAGGCCTCCTGGAAGAGATGTCAACTAGCTAAATTTCAATTAAAAGCATTCTAGTCCTTCTACCTATTTGTAACCATTATTAATATTTTAAATTATTTTTAATAATAGTGAGTACCATTTATCAATGTATCCAGGCACTATGCCAGGTGCTCTAATATATATTTTTTCTAACCCTATAACAAATATATGAAGCAGCTCTTATTATTCCATTTTACAGATGGGAAACTGAAGCTGAAAGAAAGCAAGCAGGTGACTTAGAGAAAATCAAGTTGTTACAAATAATTATTGAAATATAAATAAGAGATTTCCTCTTATGATACTATACCTTTTCTGGACCATACCTATATATATTTATATAGGTGGACTTTTTGTATATACCAAGGATCTCAAACTGGCAGCCATATTTTATTTTGCCAGCTAGAATTTTTTTAAATGTCAATGTAATGCTTTAGAGCAGCAGTTCTCAACCTGTGGGTCGTGGCCCCTTTGGCGGTCGAATGACCCTTTCGCAGGGGTCACCTCAGACCATCCTGCATATCAGATATTTACATTACGATTCATAACAGTAGCAACATTACAGTTATGAAGTAGCAACGAAAATAATTTTATGGTTGGGTCACAGCATGAGGAACTGTATTTAAAGGGCCAGAAGGTTGAGAACCACTGCTTTAGAGGTTGGAGTGTGGACTCTCTAGCCACAGGCCTTCCCATTCCCTATTGTATGTGCTTGTCTGTCAAATATGTATATTTTCTACGTGACTCTCAAGGTGTTTGAGTTATGATCTAGTTCCTCATTTGGGATCTTGCTTTTTTCACTTAATGTTATTTCTTGATGACTTTCCTATTTTAAAATTATCCATTAGCCTATTTTTTTTTTTATTCTGCCTTTCAAAAGGTGTTGCTTATCTAAAATTTCTGTGACCTTAATTGGTCCAAATGAGTTACTCCTCACTGTTAGTTTACTTAGTTCTCTTGGCCTCTTTGGGACCCCCAAGAAGATCCAGAGGTAGATGAAGCCCAGCTCCTGTCCCCTGAGTGGGCCATGTGAGGAACATGGGGAGAGGCGGGAACTCCCAGCTCTAATACCCACAGACTGATTTATGCCTTAGGGGAGGGGGTCTACACAGATTTTGTGGGGCTCCAAGAAAGCATGGGTCTCCTCCAGGCAGAATGAGCATGTCAGGCTTCATAGAGAAGGTAGCCTGTGATCTCACTAGATCAGGGGTGGGGAACATCCAGCCTGCAAAATCATTTGGTCTGGCCCTGCCAAGGCATTAGGGGTG